CCATCTATCATGTTAATACATAATATATTACAGCTCACAGTCCCTAGATGTGGTGGCTGCCTTAGTTTTCTTTTTTTGAGCCTTCTATCCCTTATTTTTAAGGTAGAAGAGAGAACAAGAACTTACCAGCTTACACGTTTTCGGGTAGGATCAATAGAGGTGGCAGGTTTGACAGATGTTTATCTGCACTCAGCAAACAGAAATGACAAAACTCTTTCAATGGTATGTTAACCACCTCTCTACTGCAGGGTTGGGTGGCCGTTATAAACGGCCTCACCGCCCCCTGCTTGTGCGCACTCCCTGGGAGCGAGCAGCACTGTGATCCAGTGCCCGCTGTGTCGGAACACTGATCGTCGTACGGGACTTCTGTGCGAGGTCCCGATCATGTGATCACTGATTGGCCAATCAGTGATCACATGCAGAGTAGTAAGCAAGATGTCACTTCTGACATCATTGCTTACTACGTGTGAAATCTGTGAATGATCACAGAGGTCACATGATACAAGGCTATTCACAACAGCCTTGTACCATGTGACAAGCTGTGACCAATCACAGCTCACACAGTAGTTCTCAATGGCTGCAAGAATGCAGCCAGAGAGAAGGAGAAATAATTGCTTTTACAGCCTTTATGGGTGTAAAAGCAATCAGTGTAAAAAAAAAAAAATCTTCATCACCCCCCACAAGTAGTACAGTGTCACCATGGTGACACTGTACTACTAGGGTGACAGTATGTAAAAAAAAAAAAAAAAAAAACACAACATAAATAATAATATGAAAAAATAAAATAAAAATATTAAAAAAAAATGTTTAAAAATTTACTTTTTGGTTGTAAACTAATTTGGGTTATGTTTTTTTTTACTAAAAAGATAACGGAATACATTTTGGCCAAGATTTATGATTAAATATTATTTATTTGCAAAATTTTAACACACAAAATTTTTGGACTTTTTCATTTTACTTCGCAAAAAAAATAAAAATCCCAGTGGTGATAAAAACAAAATAAATAAGTGACCTCCTAAACTAAATCCCACCAAAAAGTCACACTTTCTCCCTAGAAAGTACAATATAATAAAATACCTTTTTGTGTAAAATTAAAATAAAATTAAAATTCAAAAAATAAATAAAATATCACCAAATACAATCATAAAATGTCCAATTCAAATGTGTCCAACAAAATCCAAAGTCCCATATTCCAGACAGTAAGAAGGATAATAATCCTAATTTTTCAGCAAAAACCTCAAAAAAACAAAAGAAATAAACTATAGTGCATTACCCTTAAATAAATTAATAATACTCTAATTCGTGCAAATCACAAACCATTCAAAATGTGCAACACACAAAAAAAAATGTATATAAAGCTTTTTTTTAAATAATAAGTAATACACAAATTGTGAACACTCCGTGACCATTCCAACACTGTGTGCACTCTGTGACCCAACAAACAATAGTGCTAAATACTATTACCCTCTGTGAGTATTTGTATGCATATTCAGTACTATGGAACCAAAACTCTTCCCATTCCTTCCAAGGTCCTCACAAAGATAAATAGACTCTTTTAGACTGATCACCAAGGCATAGGGACAAATTTATTAGCAACTTACATCTGAATAAAGGAACTTCCAGCTCTTTCAATGGCTCTCTAATATAACCAGCAATCAATGGCTGAAAACAATATGTTTCAAACCAACAAAATGGCCACAGGGACACTTCTGGTTAGCGTGCGTGCGCCTTGACGTCACATCCCCTAACGCGTTTCGTCACTTCCGGACTTCATCTGTGCACAGCCATCCAGAGCAGTGTGATTACAGTGAAGCACCAACACACTGCCCCCCAGTAAAACATTCCCTGCACACAGTTAACCCTTTACTCGCCCCTCAGGTTAACCCTTTCCTGCCCAGCAACCATTAGTACAAATGTCAGTGCTATTTTTTAGCACTGATCATAGTATTGGTGTCACTGGGGATGTCAGTGACACCAAGTCAGTTCCCCCCAGTGGCAGAATGCCTGCCGCAGTCCCACTATAAGTCGCTGATCGCCGCCATTACTAGTAAAAATATTTGTAAAAAATTCCAGTATATATACCGCCATTTGTAAACACTATAACTTTCATGTAAACCAATTAATTAATATATATACGTTATTTGCATATCGGGTAGGGGGCGCACTGTGGGGCGCACGACCTCCCTACCCACGCCACCGATCGTGGCTACGGGTGTCAGTCACCGGGTCCCGGCCGGTGATTACCCACCGGAGCCCGCCGATTACGGCAATCACTGACAGAGAGGATGGCTGCAGTGTTTACACTGCAGCTTTCCTCCCTGTCAGTTTCCAGCACACTGTTCTGGAGAGCAGAGTTCAGCTTTCCAGATCAGTGTGTTCCTGTAAAGAACACACCCACGCCCACTAGTGAAACACTCCGCTCACACAGTTAACCCTTTGATTGCATCCAAAAGTTAACCCCTTCCTCCCCAGTGCCATTAGTACAGTGTCAGTGTATTTTTTTTTGCACTGATCACTGTATTGGTGTCACTGGGGATGTCAGTGACCCCAAGTCAGTTCCCCCCCAGTGTCAGAATGTCCACTGCAGTCCCGCAGTGCCGCCATAAGTTGCTGATCGCCGCCATAAGTCACTGATCGCCGCCATTATTAGTATAAAAAAATTAAAATTCCAGTATATATACCTCCATTTGTAGACGCTATATTTTTCACGTAAACCAATTAATTTACACGTATTGGGATTTTTTCTAGCAAAGACATTTTGGTGTAAATTTATGATGAAATTAGATTTTTTAATTTGTTTTACTGGACATGTTTAATAACAAAAAGTCAAAAATATTTTTTTTTTTTTTCAAAATTGTCCGCTTTTTTTTTTTAGCACAAAAAATCAAAAGCGCACAGGCGGTCAAATACCACCAAAAGAAAGCTCAATTCGTGGGGAAAAAAAGGATGTAAATTTCATTTGGGCGCAGCGTTGCATGACCGCGCAATTGTCAGTTAAATTATAGAAAAATGGCCTGGTCAGGAAGGGGGGGTAAATCCTCAGGAGGGCAAGGGGTTAAACTATCTGTGTGAAGTGAAGAACGCCTCCAGGTCACCATATTGCCTTTTACAGAAAATTACATCTCTGCAGATTGAAATGGAAAGGTTTATTTTTTACCATTCAAATATAATGACTTGTGTAGCAATTGTATATGTTATGGTTTTTTTTTCTCCAAAGAAAGTGGAGTTACCCTGTAAAGGTCAACCTTAACTGCTTGCAGTGTATGTACTGCGGGCGAGCGTCACAGCCAGGCTGGATCGCGTACATGTATGTCACCCGGCCTATTCTGGGTTCGAGGAGCGCATGTGCGTGCCCCCTGCTAACCCGTGCTGTCAATGGCTACACAGCAGGCCAATTATTTATGGCTGAGACCTGTTGGCCAGCTGTAGCCAATCACAGAACAGAGTCCTGCGTTTTCAATCACACAGAACTCAACGCAGGGAGAAAAAACTGCCAGATCTCTTGGTGGAAGCAGCACATATTACACACATTGCACTTGTTAGGCACACTATTAACCCCTTGATTGCCCCTTGATGTTAACCCCTTCCCAGCCAGTGTTTATTAGTACAGTGACAGGGTACAGTATTATATCTGATCACTGTATTAGTGTCACTAGTGATGCCAGTGTAAGTTAGTCAGTTAGTGTCCCTCCGAGCCAGTGTCTGTTAGCGCCAGATTGCCCGCCACACTACCATAGTCCCACTATAAGTCGCTGACCATTGCCATTAGCAGTATCGTGTCATAGCTGTGTGAATTCCAGAATATATACTGTACCTTTTGTACCACCAGCCCCTCCCTCTTAGATTGTAAGCTCCAAGGATCAGGCCCACCTATCCCTCTTGTACTGAACTGTATTGTTGCTGTATTGTCTCCCATTATATTGTAAAGTGCTGAGCAAACTGTTGGCGCTAAATAAATCCTGTATAATAATAATTATAATAGTAATAATAATCTCCTAGATTGTAAGCTCCCAGGATCAGGCCCTCCTATCCCTCTTGTATTGAACTGTATTGTTGCTGTATTGTCTCCCATTATATTGTAAAGCGCTGAGCAAACTGTTGGCGCTATATAAATCCTGTATAATAATAATAATAAAATATATACCATAGTTTGTAGACACTATAACTTTCACATAAACCAATTACTATACATTAATTGGGATACATTTTAATTTTTTTTACCAAAGACATCAGCATACATTTTGTTTTAAATTTATGAAGATTTTTTTTTCTTTTATTGAATATGTTTTATAACAAAAAATAGAAAATATGTATTTTTTTTCAACATTGTTGTTTTTTTTTTGCATTTATATCACAGGTGTCAAACCGACAGCCTCCAGCTGTTGGAAAACTACAAGTCCCATGAGGCATTGCAAGATTGACATTACAAGCAGTAAGTCCCAAAGGCAGAGGCATGATGGTAGTTTCGCAACAGCTGGAGGGCCACCAGTTTGACACCCCTGATTTATATAATAAAAAATAAGAAACCCAGTGGTGGTCAAATACCACCAAAAGAAAGCTCTATTTGTGTGAAAAAATTATATACATTTCATTTGTGTACATTGTTGCATGACCGCGCAATTACCAGTTAAAGTATTGCTGTTCTGCCTTTGCTTTCCACATTCCCTGTGTGTAACTCAACATGCAGCTCAACCCTTCTACTCTGCCATAAACCAGACTGAATGTGGTCTTAAACCTTTAGTCCTCATGCACACAGAGCATTTTTACTGTTTTTGGCTTTTGGCGTTTTTTCCTACAGCCAGTAAACCCCCCAGCATGTTATCCTATGTGTCCATACACACACATAGACTGTAATCAGTGTTTTTTGGCTGAGACGTTTTTTGGCTGGAAGAGAAACCCAGAACTAGTGGGATTCTAGAGGAGTTTTTCAGCTGTAAAAACTCTCTAACACTGAAAAACGCGCCAAAACGTGGTAAAACGCCACAAACCGGTGTTTTTGGATTTATTTTTTAGCAAGAAACATTTTTTTCATTCAAAAATTGCTAAAAAATGCAAACTCTGAAAAACGCGGCTAAACGCTAATGCAAAAATGCTATGACATGCTAAAAAAAAACTCATGTTTTTAACATGACTTTACACAGCTAATGTTATCGGCATTATTAAAAACAGGGTGGGTGAAACAAAAGAAAAGAACAGATAAGAAGGACATATAATCAATGTAAGATCATACAGAAAACACAACAAATTGTTAGGCTATAGATGGCAGAAGGTTCAAGTCTACCAGCTATGCTGCCTGTAGGAGATGCAAAAAAAAAAAGAAAATCTTCCTCCACACATGTGCTCCGATAGCTGGCCCCTTCTCTCCCAGTCTCTAAGATGGAGTCTGAGCTCCCAAGATGCATCTCTTTCCTTTCAGAATTATGGGAATTTTTTTAAATTACTCTTATCTAAACAGACTCTAGTTTCTGTAAAACAGTACATTTATTACCCGGCTCCATCTAGTGGTCAAATTTGATATTGCAGGCAGGACAGACATAATATATTCCCCTGCTGGAGGCAAAACAAAGGCAGTGCTGAATAAAAAGAAAATGTCCTGGTCGTGAAGGAGGTAAAACCTTCTGGAGAGCAAGTGGCTAAAATAGAACAGCGTACACCTAGCCAGAACAATAAAAGGCATTTTTTGTTGCTATAGATTATTGCACCTTGCTTTGTGTTTTTTGTTTTGTTTTTCATTTTTTTTTATTAAAAAAAACAGGGTGCGTGAAATAAAAGGAAAGAACAGATAAGAAGGACATATAATCAATGTAAGATCATATAGAAAACGCAACGAATTGTTAGGCTATAGATGGCAGAAGGTTCAAGCCTACCAGCGATGCTGCCTGTAGGAAATGCAAAAAAAAGAAGAAAATCTTCATCCAACATGTGCTCTGATAGCTGACTCCTTCTCTCCAAGTCTCTAAGATGGAGTCTGAGCTCCCAAGATGCATCTCTTTCCTTTCAGAATTATCGGAATTTTTTTATTAACTCTTATCTAAACAGACTCTAGTTTCTGTAAAACAGTACATTTATTACCGGCTCCATCTAGTGGTCAAATTTGATATTGCAGGCAGGACAGACATAATATATTCCCCTGCTGGAGGCAAAACAAATGCAGTGCTGAATAAAAAAGAAAATGTCCTGGTCGTGAAGGAGGTAAAACCTTCTGGAGAGCAAGTGGCTAAAATGGAATAGCGTACACCTAGTCAGAACAATAAAAGGCATTTTTTGTTGCTATAGATTATTGCACCTTCATTTGTGTTTTTTTTTGTTTCGTTTTTTTTTTTGTTTTATGGTTTTTTTTTTTTACTGGAAGCTGCCTACTTTTTTTTTACGTCCTTCTGCGCCTGATAAAAAATTGCACTAATCTGTGACATTTATTCAGAAATTGTCCTGCAGCGCCGTGTCATTGCGATGCAAATTCTGCATAATAACAAATGATAGAATGTCACTCCTTAGATATTCAATGTTTTCCTCCTGCCTTTCTCTCAAGAAATGCCGACTTGTACATCTGTACACAGATATCGCCGAGTGCTATAAAGCATTTTTCTCCGGCAGATTATGACATCTGTCTCCTGGGAACGCTTTTATCGTTGTTTGCAGAAGTTATTTATTGAAACTGCAAATCTAACATTACTGTCTACATGCTTGTCAATCTTCCGGCATTATGCGTTCTGACAGCCCAGAGCTATAGAACAGCTACATTGCTCAGCACATGTGTGGACATTGGGTGACACTTGCTTCATGTGCAGAAATAGCACCCTTCATTACCATCCTGAAGGATAATTCTAGGGACTGAGGGTTCATAGGCCTAGCCCCCTGTGTTCTGTCCTACTTCCATGTATTATTTTCTGTTGTAGTGACCTATATCTAAAATCAATCAATCAATATACATTGGATTATTATTGTTCTGTAGCATGCTGACACCTAGTGACTGTTTTGGGCTACTACAACCTGTTTACTATTTGATTTGGTATTTTCCTCTGTCGCTCCCTCCTGTTTTATGTTAGTTAAAGTGTTACTAAGCAGTAAACTCTGTATACACAGTAAAACATGCTTGTTATACTCACTGTGGAACCTAAGGGGTCAATCCTCTGCATTGTGTAAAAAGGCTGTTTGATCCTTTATTATTTTTTATTTATTTATTTCAGGTACTTATATAGTTCCGTCAATTTATGCAGTGCTTTACACAAATATATATTGTACATTCACATTGGTCCCTAACCCTCAAGGGGCGTACAATCTAAGGTCCCTAACTTACATTCATACATACACATACTAGGGACAATTTAGACAGGAGCCAATTTACCTACCAGCATGTCTTTGGAGTGTGGGAGGAAGCTGGAGTACCTGGGAGACCAGATATAGTGAATACGGGGTCCTAGGAGACCAGATATTGTGAATGCGGGGTCCTAGGAGACCAGATATAGTGAATGCAGGGTCCGGGGAGATCAGATATAGTGAATGCGGGGTCCTGGGAGACCAGATATAGAGAATGCGGGGTCCTGGGAGACCAGATATAAAAAATGCAGGGTCCGGGGAGACCAAATATAGTGAATGCGGGGTCTTGGGAGACCAGATATTGTGAATGCAGGCTCCTGGGAGATCAGATTGAGTGAATGCAGGGTCCTGGGAGACCAGATATAGTGAATGCAGGGTCCGGGGAAACCAGATATAGTGAATGAAGGGTCTTGGGAGACCGGATATAGTGAATGCAGGGTCCTGGGAGATCAGATATAGAGAATGCAGAGTCCGGGGAGACCAGATATAGTGAATGCAGTAAATATACTAATAAAACAATTAGTCCATTCAAGGTTCTTATTTTAACTGAAGCACTGATGAAGGGAGAGTTTTTTAGTGTAAACTAATACAGTAATACCTCGGTTTAAGAACGCTTCGGTAATTTTCGGTTTACAAATGAAAATCCACTGAAAATAATGCCTCGGTTTACAAATTTTGTATGAATTATTTTTGCAATACGAAGTGTATGTCAGTGCTGATTTTTAAATGCAATTGCTGGCTCTTTTTTTTCTCTTCACTATAGCTCACAGAATTAGCTGTCACTTTCCCCAAAGTTAACGGAAATGTTGTTTCTTTTAGGAAACTAAAAAGAAACATTGTTTGCCCCCCCCCCCCCTTTCCTGACCTGCCAGGCTGCATGCTCTGAAAAGGGTCTGGTATGGATTTTGGGGAGGACCCCCACGCCATTTTGTTTAAAATTTTGGCGTGGAAGTTCCCCTCAAAATCCATACCAGACATGAAGGGCTTGGTATGAATGGGGGGAAGGGGGACCTTTTTAATTATTTTTTTAATTGCCGGCAATTCTTTTACATTCAGCTGTCAGTGGGGAACCCCGCTGACAGTGAAATATTAACACATGGTTGTCACTACTAAAATGCTGCATGACTTGATAAAATAACTCATGTGGTATTTGTTAGTGTTTACTTTTTTCTGATCTCCGGAACAGATTAATTGGTTTTCAACGCATTCCTATGGGAAATGGCGTTTCGTTTAAGAATTTTTCGCTATAAGAAAAGTCCTGCAGAACAAATTAAATTCTTAAACCGAGTTATTACTGTATATTGCAGACATAGAACTAGAAATAGTGCAGCACTTACAACATATAATAATAATAATACACATAAAAAACAAATGAATAGAGTCCAGATATAAGAAGTCATATGTTAGATGCTAGATGGTGAAATAGCCATAGATTTTCATATAAATAGTACACTCTGTAGGTGAGGAGAAGTAAAATTAGAGCTGTGAAGGACCTATCCGGTGGTGTGCAGAAGGTTTAGCAGAAATGCAAACTCACCAGAAATATTATATGAATGCGCCTATAATAATATATCCAATTCGGAAGACTTCCATCAAATGAGGGGCCACTGGTCTGGTCAGGAGATGAAACGCTTCTTCCAGTTAGAAACAAGGATCCTCTCCAGGATAGTGAAAATGGTCTGGTCATGGAAAAAGTTCCATCCTCCAAAGTGGATGAAACTTGGGTCCTGAGGGTTAGGTGCTCATGATAGAGCCAAGAAAAAAGGGGGGTCTCATAGTGTAGTATGATATAAAGTACTTTAATAAAATTAAGATAGTGGTATAAATAATACACATACATGTAATAAAGGTGATGATAGTACTTATCATCTAGTATAAAATGACCTGTGCTGGCAATGTTACTGACCAGTATGGTAGTTATAGTGGCCGCCGGACCTCCGTGATCCAGCGGCTTGGCGTCTCTGGGTGGTAGGGCTCCTCCTTAACGCGTTTCATATAAGTATATATCCTCAGAAGGGGTGATGCTTGACCCGCCGCTTGCCCAAAATCTCCTTAAATAATGTCAGATGACGCTCGCTCGTTAGCAGGCGCCATCTTGCCGATGATCAGATGCATTGGTGCTATTTAGGTTAGCGCTCGCTGGCAATATTTGTTTTTGGTTCGTATTCTCTTTTATTACTGTATATTGATTTGGATTATTTTATTTTTTGGCCTGGTGCATCTTTTTTTTTTTTATTGAAGAATTAGGCTGCCCTTGAAGGGTGCCAACTCAGCAGGCAATGCACAATACAGCATTTGAAACAGAACATCCTGAATGGCTCAAGCGGTAATTAATAGAGGATCCATTTAGAATGACACTTCAATGCTCAAGTACAGTAGCTGTCAATACACCCTCACTGCAGCACACAAACTACCACAGTGAACCACATCAGAAAAACAGTGCTGGGATATCTTTACTGTGGTGGTCCACCTCCAATGCACAGGACATAAAAACAACCAATATGCACATATGTGGTATTGCTGCAACCTTCAGGAGCAGGAGAATTTATTTTGGGTTGTTTTTTGGTGGTAAGATATGGTAATTTCAAGAAATATACAGATAAATGTATTTATTTATTTATTTTTAACTAATTTGGGCTAGTTTTCATTTGATAAAAAAAAAGAAACCAGGCAGTATCTATTATCATTTACCACCAAAACAAATCCCTATCTGTCCTGAAAAAAACCCCCACTTGGATACACAAAGTGGTTGTGGTGTCAAAGTTGCTCATGCATGAACATTTATTTTTTCCCCTCAGTCACTAAGGGGCTAACACTTAGTTTGGAGAGATCTGTTATACAATTGAACCTGCTGCATATGCTCCATTCCATAACAGATCAAAATCTGAAAACATACCCATCCACATGCACATACACTATATTGCCGAAAGTATTGGTCCAGCCCTCCAAATCATGTGATTCAGGTGTTCCAATCACCTCCATGGCCACAGGTGTATAAAATCAAGCAAATGGAGAAACAGAAAAAGGGCGCGCCGACCTAGTGCATTATCATTTAACATTTTTTTCGAAGAAACAAAGTAAGTATCATACTCACAATAGACATAAAGACAGGCATGTCAAACAGAACAATATGTATGATCCAAACAACATCTGAGTCCATATGATAGAACCCTGGATGACCAACTTGGTAACGCGCTTCGAGGACACAACCTCTTCCTCAGAAACGTGTTAGCCAGTTGGTCATCCAGGGTTCTATCATATGGACTCAGATATTGTTTGGATCATACATCTTGTTCAGTTTGACATGCCTGTCTTTTTATGTCTATTGTGAGTATGATACTTACTTTGTTTCTTCAATAAATATTTTAAACGATAATGCACTAGGTTGGTGTGCATTTTTTCTGTTTCTCCATTTGCATCCAGTATATTTGGACTACCCTGGTCTGTTGAGGTCAGCAAGCAGTGCATATTCCAGAAAATTCCAGAACATTCCTATTGGGTCTACTGAGTCTTTTCCTAGCACAGGAGAAAAGTGTTTGTTGTGTTGTATAAAATCAAGCCCCTAGGCATAAATACTGCTTCTACAAACATTTGTGAAAGAATGGGTCGCTCTCAGGAGCTCAGTGACTCCAAGCGTTGGTCCCGTGATAAGTTGCCACCTGTGTAATAAGTCCATCCGTGACATTTCCTGGCTACTAAATATTCCACGGTCAACTGTTTTAGTGGGATTTATAACAAAGTGGAAGCAACTGGGAACAACAGCAACTCAGCCACCAAGTGGTAGGCCACGTAACATGACAGAGCGGGTCAGCACATGCTGAAGCGCACAGTGTGCAGAAGTCACCAACTGTCTGCAGAGTCAATAGCTATTTAAAGACCTCCAAACTTCATGTGGCCTTTAGTTTAGCACAACAACAGTGTGTAGAGAGCTTCATGGAATGGGTTTCCACGGCCGAGCAGCTGCATCCAAGCCTTACATTACCAAGTGCAATGCAGTGGTGTAAAGCACGCCACCACTGGACTCTAGAGCAGTGGAGATGTGTTCTCTGGAGTGATCAATCACGCTTCTCTGTCTGGCAATCTGATGGTTTAGCGGATGCCAGGAGAACGGTACTTACCTGACTGTATTGTGCCAAGTTTAAAGTTTGGTGGAGGGGGTATTATGGTGTGGGGTTGTTTTTCAGCACTTGGGCTTGGCCCCCTAGTTCCAGTGAAGGAAACTCTTAAGACATTTTGGACAATTTCATGCTCCCATCTTTGTGGGAACAGTTTGGGGATGGCCCCTTCCTGTTCCAACATGACCAGTGCACAAAGTAAGGTCCATAAAGACATGGAAGAGCCAGTTTGGGGTAGAGGAACTTTACTGGCCTGCGCAGAGTCCTGACCTCAACTCGATAGAACACCTTTGGGATGAATTAGAGCTGAGACTGTGAGCCAGGCCTTCTCGTCTGACATCAGTGCCTGACCTCAGAAATGTGCTTCTGGAAGAATGGTCCAAACCTTCCCATAGACACCCTCCTAAACCTTGTGGACGGCCTCCCCAGAAGAGTTGAAGCTGCTATATCTGCAAAGGGCGGGGCCAACTCAATATTGAACCCTACGGACTAAGACTGGGATGCCATTAAAGTTCATGTGCGTGTATAGGCAGGCCGACCAATACTTTTGGCAATATAGTGTAGATAGATATTCAGCGTTGTCAGATTTCTCTTCCATAAACTGATATCCTAATAGCCTAATATCCTAACAAGTGTATGTCAGAATACTAGGCTATTCCTACTGTATAGTTCCTACTACTGTATTAGGATAATAGTTTTAGGAAAGAGAAATTTGACAATACTTAATATAGTTTAGAAAACGCAATCGGCTCATTCATGACAGATCTATATACATGAATGTAAACTCTTAGATCCCTTTCATCCCGCTTTGCTCAGTTTACTGCCTGTTTGTTTACACCCAACTGTCCTCTGGTCCAATCCGTCTAGGAGAAGGGAGACTGATCCCCTTTCGTTTTTTTCTTTTTTTTTCCAGATTGGACTGGAGGTAGATGGGTATAAATCGATAAATAAATGGAGCATATGCAGCAGGTGCATGACGATTGGTAATTAGGAGAGCAGATTTGAGTATGTAAGTGCTGCACCTGTGCCAAATAGACATGTGTTGTTCATTTTATTCCAGATCAAAATTTGGACAAAATTTTTGTCATTTGTCAATTCGAATGTATCCAAATTTCTATGTTACTATAGTAATGAATTTAAACATATCTAAAATAATTAAACAACATTTGAATCAAATCGTATTTGAATAGAATTGGCAAACAAATTTGAAAACGAAATCGAATTCGAACACAAATTTGAAATGTAAACATTCCGCTGGTTTTCTTCAAAGACTGTGGGGTAGATTTACTAAAACTGGTGCACTCAGAATCTGGTGCATCTGTGCATGGTAGCCAATCAGCTTCTAACTCCAGCTTGTTTCATTAAGCTTTGGCAAGAAAACCTGGAAGCTAGTTGGTTTGTATGCAGACCTGCACCAGACTTTGCACTCTCACGTTTTAGTAAATAACCCCCTGTGCGTATAGAGCATAGCCGTCTTGTGAAGTTCAAATTTAAAATAGAATAGAATAAAACAGCACAGAATAGAATAAAATAGAAAACAAAACAATAGAATAGAACAAAATAGAAAGAATACAGTCATCTTCTGAAATTTGAATTTCGAAAGGAATAGAATAGAATAAAAGAGAATAGAAAATAGAGAAAAAGAATATGAAAATTATTATTATTATTAAACAGTATTTATAAAGCGCCAATAGTTCGCTCAGCGCTGTACATTACAAAGGGGGACAGAACATGTGACAGAACAATGCCAATATAATGCAAAACATGAGGGGATCGAGGGCCCTGCTCTTTCGAGCTTACAATCTAGGAGGGAGGGGATGGTGGCACAGGAGGAGATAGCTGTGGGGGATGGAGTGGTAGGAAGAGTGGAGGAGGTCGACAAGTTAGCAGGGGGTGGGGTAGGCTTCCCTGAAGAGATGGGTTTTCAGGGAGCGCCTAAAGGAGAGGAGAGTAGGTGATAATCTGATGGGTTGGGGCAGGGAGTTCCAGAGGATGGGTGACACCCTGGAGAAGTCCTGGAGGCGGGCATGGGAGGAGGAGACCAGGGAACTAGAGAGAAGGAGGTCTTGTGAGGAGCGGAGAGTGCGTGTTGGGCGGTACTTGGATATTAGGTCAGTGATGTAGTTCGGGGCAGTATGGTGGACAGCTTTGTACGTCAGCGTTAGGATTTTGAATTTGATCCGTTGCGCAGAATATCAAATAAATGAATAAATTAGTATAGAATAAAATAGAATATATTACAATAGAATAAAATAAAAAAACCTCAGTGTAGGAAAAGAAATCTGGTGGAGTGTGCAATCTTCAAGGCAAGGCAGCTGTTACAAACTAAATTGTGGGCAACGATGGGCAGCATTGTTGGGCACTGATGGGCACTTTTGGTGCTGCACTGATAATCAGGGCACTTCTAATCAGTGCCCTGATTATCAGTGTAGACGTCTGCTTTAAGTCCTCAGGCACCCGGGACATTTTGATAACGCTGGTAATATTAGCTGTGTAAAGTCAGGTTAAAAACTTGAGTTTTTCAGCTTTTTTTAGTGTTTTTGCATTGGCGTTTAGCAGCGGTTTGCTGTGTTTAGCTGCGTTTTTCCACGTTTGCTGTTTTTAGCTGTTCTTTATAGCAAAAATATTTTTTTTGGTCAAAAAAAAAGTCCAAAAATGCCGGTTTGTGGCGTTTTAGCATGTTTTGCTGCGTTTTTCAGAGTTAGAGCATTTTTACAGCTGAAAAAAACTCCTCTAGAAGCCCACTAGTCCTGGGTTTTATTTCCAGCCAAAAAACATCCCAGCCAAACAACGCTGATTCCAGTCTCTGTGTGCATGGACACATAGGATAACATGCTGGGGGGGTTTACTGGCTGTAGAAAAAAAACATCAAAAGCCAAAAATAGCCGCTGTAAAAACGTCCCGTGTGCATGAGGACTAACAGTTTTCCCGTTATCACAGTACTTTCCTCATGCTGTGACAGCGTGAGGAAAGTACTGCCAATAACCAGCAAGTGTGTTTACATGGTGGTCAGCTGTGATTGGACACAACTGATCACGTGGTAAAAGGCTGCTGTGATTGGCCCTTTAGTGTGTCATGTAATCAGCTGTGTCAAAAGGACACAGCAATCACAGAGAGCCCCAGTTGTCATATGATGCCCTCCCAGAACTGGATGACCACACATTCGTCTATAGCGCGGTCAAGAAGTGGTTAAATGGATTAGTTTTAGTGAATTTCTGCAAAAAGCACAAAAAAATATATAGGTGTGAACCAGACCTAAATATGAATTCCTTATGATGAAAAAACAAAGCAATATTCACACTTTCCTGAAAATGGTTGAAGTGTGAGTGGGTGCTGCAGCGACCACCGGCTGGAGACCAGAACAACTTTAAGGCAGAAAATATGTCACCAGCACTCCAAGGAGCTCCATAAAAGGGTCCAGCGCTTTATTGGATGATCACATCACAGCAAAAAATAGCAACATTTAGGAACCACGCAGGACCCCTTCATCGCAGGGGTCCTGCGTGTCTCTGAAACGTCACCATTATTTACTGTGATGTGATCATCCAATTAAGGGCTGGACCCTTCTATGGAGCTCTTTGGAGTGCTGGTGACATATTTCATGTCTTATGATTAAAAAAAAAACGCATTTCAGCTGCTTTAAACACTTCCCCATCCCTCCCATGTATATAAACGGACGGATGGGAGCAGTGTAGGCGCGGGTTGTCATTCATAAATGGCACCCGCCAATTTAGTCTGTGTGCGCTCCCTGGTAGCGTGCAGCACTGCGATCCGGTGCCCGCTGTGTCCAGAGACATTAGACCACCGATCGCTGTACGGGACCTCTATGTGAGGTCCCGATCATGTGATCACTGACTGGCCAATCAGTGATCATATGAATAGTAGTAAGCAAGATGTCACTTCCTGACATCATTGCTTACTACTTGTGAAATTTGTGAATGATCACATTGGTCACATGGTACAATGCTATTCACAACAGCCTTGTACCATGTGACAAGCTGTGACCAATCACAGCTCTTACAGTAGTTCTCAATGGCTGCAAGAATGCAGCCAGAGAAAAAGATAAATGATTGCTTTTACAGCCTTTATGGGTGTAAAAGCAATCAGTGTAAAAAAAAAATAAATCTTCATCACCTCCCACAAGCAGTACAGTGTCACTATGGTGACACTTCACTGCTAGGGTGACAGTATGGAAAAAAAAAATATAAATAATGATATAAAAAAAATTAAATAAAAATGTAAAAAAAGTTTAGAAAAATTATAATTTTTGGTTATAAACTAATTTGGGTTATTATTTTTTTACTACAAAGATATATGAATACATTTTGGCCAAGATTTATGAAGAAAGATTATTTATTTGCAAAAAAAAATAAAAATCCCAGAGGTGAATAAATACCACCAAAATAACATTTTATCTGTCTCAAAAAAAATGCAAAAAAATTCATATGGGTACAGCGTTGCATGACCGCACAATTGTCATTCAAAGTGTGACAGTGCTGAAAGCTGAAAATTGGCCTGGGCAGGAAGAGGGTAAAAGTATCAAAACTTGAAGTGGTTAAAATGCCCATTTCACAGGAGGTAAAAGAATTTAAAAATGATAAAAATTTAAATATAGTACCATGGTAAAAAGTCTAAGTATACACCAAAAAATGTAAATACGTTGATAACAAAAAAAAGGAATAAAGTTGATGCAGTGAGGGACTATCACTCTTAAAAATATAAAACTCATTAAGACTTGTATCAACTTGTGTGTTAGAATACAAAGCTGGTTAACATATGCAAACCTTCAACTAACTAAATTTAGCAAAATTGATCATATATTCCATATTAATTAATATGCGTTTTATGTACTGCGTAGTTGAAAATCATCATTTGTACCGCCACATTATTTACATTACAATGGCCAGCTTCT